CAGGGCCTCTCTGATATGTTACAATGTCGTTTTCTGACCAACAGAATTCTGTAAAATCTCTCCCCAAAGTCCAGGAAATGGCATTTCAGAGAGTCTAGATTCAAAAATTTTCCGGATGAGCATGCCCTGGACCCCCTAGAAAACCTGTACATATACGGCGTTCGACTCGTGACTTTAGCACTTCTACTAGGGGGGCCTTCGAAAATTTTGAACCGGGGGCCCCCTGATATAACGTTACGCCACTGCACTTTGCACCATGGATTGTAAAATATTTACAATTGTGTTATTTTACAAACTATACCTTGCACTTAGGCGAATTGGCAATGAACTCTGGGTCATTGCCAATCTAAGTCGCACAGCCTGTTGTAAATTAATTCTGTAAGTGCAAGTAATACCTTTAAGAAACTAATTGGACATCTGTAAATTTTGCACAACACCAATATTTTGGTTTTGGGTATTGATTTTTTTGGAATGAGTGTTGTAGGCGATGGTGTTATTGGTCATAAAAGTTGTTAAGCAGGGATGGGGGTTTGGTGCATAAAGGATATATTATATCTTTAGAAAAGAAGGCCGCACAATCATCTACAGATTTAAAAATGGACTATTCTCTTAACATACTGTCTCTTGACTTGATGCAATTTTCCTTTGAATTCTTAACATAGGCAGTTCTGTCCATTTAACGTCATCTAACGGTGCATCCAATGCTGGCGACCAAATAGCCAAGGTAGCTATAAACTTCATTGTATTCGTTCTGTTCGAATCATATTCGTTCTGTTCCGTTACAATTACAAAATAATTACAAAATATTACAAAATATATTATGCCTTGCATCAACTCAGCACCTCTCTAAGACAGACACCTCTTTGACAACGCGGAATTTTTTTTGTCCGACGAAAACATGTCTCCTAGACTAAAGCTTATTTTCCACTAGGCGAATTTGATCGCGCGAAGCGAAAAACTGGCAATGTGATTGGTCAGCGAAAAAATTCGCCGCAAAAAGTTGGACCAGTTCCTTCTCTTTTACTGTTTGCGAGAACAAATTCGCCTAGTGGAAAATGGGCTTAAGTCTTAATGTAAAATTACGTTTTTCTTGCTGCAAATCTGGCAAGGGCTGTGAAACATAACGTCCTTCTTTTTTAGACTTTAGAGGAGATGAAGGAACGTTGTGAATTTTTTCAGAAAGAAATGGAACGTTTCTCTAAGAAAAGACTAAAATTAGATAGTGAAAAAAAGGAAATCAAGGCAGTTGTAAGTGTTGATGGCCCGATGACAAACTTCTTGATTGGTATCGGAGGTGGCCTAGCTATTGCCATTTCAGTCGCAACGCTTGAAATTGTAACAGCATTCGCTGGAGCTGCTGTGGCTGCATTAACTCTTACAGTGAAAATCAAGGATAATCATAGCAATACAAAAACTGTCAACAACGTAACAGAACAGTGTATAGTTGATCCAGTTTCGGTGATTTTAACCATTCTCAAAGAAGTTGGCATAGAGTTGAGCCGAATCTTTGAGGAGCAGTTATTCAAACTACATGATAATAAAGATGTAACGGAGATGGCATGCTGTGCTGTGAATTTAATGTTTAAATTTGAAGATGGTGATAGATTCGACAGAAATGCGTTATTAAGAAATGTTTTTCTTGGAAAGGATAAAACTAACACGAAACTGAAAACAAAGAGGCATAACAAGAGGTGGCGAGTTCAAGATGTTTTCCAAAAACCTGGTCTGCGTAAAGAAATAGTCCCCAAATCAGTTTCATCTTCATCTTTTGTTGAATTCGAATATTTGAGCAAAGCTAATGACACCTGCGACCCCCAGATGTATGGATATCGAGGCGAAATCTTAGAAATGATTTGTAAGACAACGAACGAGTCAGAGGCACGAAATATTGGTTGTACAGAACCCGACGGCGGTGGATATGGTACCACAAGCTCATGTTGTCCAGTTGATATAGATGGGGCTAGGGGAGAAGTTACCTACTTTGGCGAATGCGACATTGACAAGGAGTACACCGAAATTTGTGCAGAGACAATTTATTACCAACCATTTCACTGCTTAATTCGATGTCCAAGTATTTTGGAAAATTTTGCATCAAAAGGAGGCAATCCCAGTCGGCCATCTTTGAGGAACTTCGTAAGCAAAATGTACCATCCACGAGTCAGACCTGTGAGACCAGTTTATCGACCTCATTCTCCCCGAATATTGCATTCTTTGAGCAATACCGACCTCAGTGGCTCGGAGTTTTCTCGCGTCAACTTCAGCAGTTCCAGCCTTGAAAATTGTGATCTAACTGGCTGCACTATACTGTTTGGAGAGTTCAAAGGAGCCAGTCTTTGTCGCTCGCAGTTCAAGGAAACGTACCTTTCCCACTGCAACTTGACAGACGTGAATGCTCCAGGGTGTAATTGGACGACTAACGAGTTTCTTCATTCGTGTGTGGATTATGCTGATCTGCGTGTTGGTGTTAATATAGTGGACGGTAACAGCAGGAAGGGGACATCATTGAAGAACGCTAACATGACAGACAAATTATTATGTATGTATTTTATGCTCATAATTTCTTTTTTATTTCTTTCTTATCCTTTTACTCTCTCCTATCCTTTTATTGTTTCCTATCCTCTTTTATCTGCTGTTTTCCTCTTTTATCCATTTTTGCGCGAATAAGTGCAACAAGAAACGGTGAAAGAGAAAAGAGAGTCTTTTCTTTTTTACCGTTTCTTGTTGCACTTATTCTTTGTTTTTCTCCATTATACTTTATTATCTTCCTTTATTCTCTTTTATCCTGCCATTTCTTCTCTTATTGTATTATTTTTCTGATATTGTATTGACCTTTCTTTCTTCATCTTTTAATCTCGCGTGTCCACCCTTGTCCTCAATTATCCTCTCTGACCCCATCTTAGAATCTCTATTAAAAAATATGTTTTTTTTTTAAATCTAAAAAATTCGTAGAATGAATATATTTCGTCTGCTTCATTTCATTGTATAAATAGTAGGTGTTATAAAATATTGCAAGGTTGGAATAACAATATTTTTATAAAATATTGCAAGTACAGGAATTGCAATAATAGACGGTCTAAGTATAACGTTTGAAACATTTGAAATCAACTTCCAGAATGCATGTGTATTTCGGCCCATGTTTGTCAAGTTACTGTAGAAATATAATGGATGCAGGGCCGTCGCGAAGTAGTTTACGCAGGGGTGTGGGTATTGCATTTGACGACAAAAGGTGTGGCAACTGGCAGTGACGTGCTCGATCCCGTTCGCCAGAGGAGGTAACCTAAAAATGTGGCGGCCATCGGTAAAAAAAATTCCGAAATATGCGTCGATGGGCGGGAGGGCGTGTTGGAATTTAGTTACACCAAAAGGCAAAAATTTTAGTTTTTAAGAATTGACCGACAAATTGTTCATTTTTCGAACAAATTGTTCATTTTTCTCTGTTTTTCAGAGGGCGTGTTACATCCCCAACATCTCCTTTAGCGACGGCCTGAATAGATGACTTTAAACTAACCTAGGCGTTTTTGTTTCGTGGTCGATATAGTACCCAGGGTAACCAATCAACTAGAACCAACTGTACATGTTCCGCCTGGAATCAAGTGAGTTTCTATAATCCATTTTTAACTATATAAATTTGTGTGCCGAATATTTATTTTAAAACTACGTTTTTGATAACAGTTGAAAATGATATGATAAGATATACTATAGTTTCGCGTGAGACCAAATATTGGTTTGAGAAGTTTCATGACCAGCCTCTGAGGAGAATCTAGGTAGATGCGAGCATTGCTTTAATGTCAGGGCTTTTTTAACTATATCACTGGAGGAAAAGCCCTCCAGCCCTCATGGTGCCCCCTCCCTCAACTATTTTGGCCCCTCAGTCAAAGTTCCTTTTCTTTGAAATATAAAGAAAACATTGGAAAAAAATGGAATTTAGAAGGGTAGTTTGATATTCTAGTAACTGCTTTGTGAATCTTATTTCCTGTCTTTTAGCTTCAAATGATTCAATGTATTTTTAAAAATGCTAAACATGGTGTTATAAATGTCTTAGATTTAAAAATGGGATATCACATCCCAGACCCTATATATTTGGGTTGTTGGAAGGCTGTGTTAAACAAGTTAGTTACATAAATATACCATGCAAGTAGTTGCATTCAGTCTATCTGCTATCTATGTAACGCTGTATATCCGAAAATCTGTTCAGAAAACGCACGAAACTCTGCTTCAACTTTGTTTCCTACCAAATTAGAGAAGGACCAGGAGATAGAAATCTCGAAACGATGGCAGAGAATACAATGAACGGCTTGTCAAAAATTATCGGTAAGCGTTTAGTAAGCTTGTACATGTCCGCTGCTTTTAAAACGTCTCTTATAACTCTCCCTTATTAAAGATTCAATTTGTGATGAAATATTTATACATAAGTGATATTTTAGGTATTCTTTATATTGATATGAAATACTTTCCAATGCGCATTAATTAGTTAGGTTTTGAGAATCGTTGAAGCAAAGTCAGATTAAGCTATCAATGCATCGACAGTTTGAATGAAATAGATTTAAAGTGTGATAACCAAAAATACTGTTTTCGTCAGGAACATTTCATAGGTTTTAATTTACTCAGTCAATTATATCCAACTAATTTCACAATCTGGTTGCCTTAGCCACAGTCTATTAAGATATGATGTTGTGGAAACTAGCTCGATAGAAGTAACTGTGTTATGTTTTTGTCTGAGTTTATGTTAATTTGCGCACGGTCATGGTGATTGACCTCATTGTATTTTCGTATGATTAAGTAATTATCCAACAGGGATAGCTATAATTGTGCACGGTGAAGTAGATAGAGTTCATCATCAAACAGAGGTCTCCTATTTTGTAGCTTTGAAATTTGTATGGCCATCATATCTTGACAGACCGGCTATACCTTTGCTAAAAAGCACATGTCAATTAGTAGTTTGGAAAAAGGTTAATGTTTTGTGTAAAGGCGTTCATTAGATGGGAGCCTTTAGAGTAGGTGGTAGGCGCGTTTATTCGATTACTTTGTGTTTCTCTCCCAGGGTTTTTTTCAGGATTTTCTCTTGGGTCCGTTTTTGAAGAGAAGATTGAGTTTGGCTCAACAGTTGGGGTGGTTGAACCCCCCCCCCCCCACC